GAAGAGGAAGCTGAAATGTATTTGAAGTGGTTCACTGTGACGTGAAAAAGAGTTGGTGATTAGGGGGAGCGAGCACAATATGGGCACTCTATCTTATTAGTTTGGGCTGCACTGACTTAGCTTTCCGGTAGGTTCACATCCGTGTGTTTGCCCATTTTATGGGTTGTGTGTTATGGGCATGCTCAACATTAGACTATATTCAGTCAACTTCATAACTGGTTTCTATGACTAGCAGCAGCTTAGTGATAGACAGTGTATTTAATGACAGAGGTTTGCTGGTATGCAGATATAAAATGGAGGGGTATTTTTTTTTCCATGCTGGTTTGTGGGGAGGGGAACCTCATCTTGTATATAAGTCCAGTATAGCATGTTAAATATGTTGTGTCCACATACTAAGTAGATGCTGCTGGGCATAGTATTTGACAGAGATTTACTAATATACTGTGTAGTGCAGTGCTAACTATAGGTTCTGTAGCAAAACCTAGCAGATTTCAGATTTCACTACAAATCCTTTAAATGTCAGTTAGTAAAGCATGGTAGTGTTAATTGTAGCCATGATGGTTCAGGAATTATGAAAGGCAAGGCTTTTGGGGGGGTAATTTTTTTTTTATTGGACTTCATAGATTTCATAGACTTCATAGATATTTAGGCTGGAAGGGATCCCAAAGGATCATCGAGTCCAGCCCGCTGCCCTAGAGGCAGGAAGTCAGCAGGGATCACAGGATCCCAGCAAGATAAACATCCAAATGTGTCTTGAAGGTGTTCAGAGTAGGTCCTTGAACCGCCTCTGGCGGCAGTCTATTCCAAACCCTGGGGGCTCAGACAGTAAAGAAATTCTTCCTATGCCCAGCCTGAATTGGTCATGGCGGAGTTCGTGACCGTTCGATCTTGTCATCCCTCGGGGTGCTCTGGTGAACAGACTTACTGTATAATAAGAATAAAGTTAGACAAGCTCTTGAATTCAAGACATGGTTGTTCATCAAGTAGTAAGGCATTTTGTACAAAAGCTTGTCAATCTCAGCTGTGCGCTTGGTCCAACAAAAGATTCCACCCACAAATTCTTGCCTCTAGTTAGTTAAAGTAGTAGTGCTAAAACTCTTAGCATTGTATTATGCAAAATATTTAGAAGTGTACAGTGCCAGGAGCAGAACCAAATTAGGAATGAGGTAATTTAAGACTTTGCCTAGAAATTAGGTCACTTCATAGAAGTTTCTTAAAGGGACTTTCTTCTTTCTTACACGAGGCAAATGGTCAGGGCTTGCAATTGGCTATATTTAATCCTTGGTTTGTCTTGTATTTAGCATGAAAAAGGACAAGGTGTGATCGAAGAAAACGAAGTTTATAGTAATACTTTGGCTGGAGTTTGGGTGACAACAGGAAGTACTCCAGTGTTGAGGAGAAATAGAATACATAGTGGCAAACAGGTGAGATTCACTTTGCACAGTAAAATGCTTTGTTCATATTTCTTCCTTGCTTTTAATTTAACTAACTTATTTTTAATGTGTCAGGTTGGTGTTTATTTTTATGACAATGGACATGGAGTGTTGGAAGACAATGACATCTATAATCACATGTACTCAGGGGTTCAAATAAGGTAAAATGCATTTTTATTTTATGTCTAAAAAGAAGTTATAGTCGACTCCATTCACAGCAACATGTGATACGAGCAACGGCTGCTTACCAGGAAAATGTTCCCAGGGAAAATATTATATGCCATGTATACAGATGACTCCTTATAATAGCAACACTCAGTTTGGAGCAGAATAGCACCAAGGCATTGAAAAATTACTACTAACAGGCATGTGATTTCCATTGTATTATCCCCTTTGTGTCTCCTTATCACTTTGATAAGGAGCCCTACTTTATGGGGCTCCTTTAAATCTGACTGGCCTTAGTTTTCGCTATCAAGGAGGAATTTTTTTTGAAGTAGATGCTGTAGGACTGTCCTTTAACCTCTGCTATTGCCCTTTAACCTCTACTATGTGCAGCTCTTGATGGCATGGAGTCTAAAATCTGTTTGACTAGAAAGTAGAGCATTTCTAAAGGCCTGGAAGTAAAATGAAGGGGGCGGGGAATGTCTGTTTTCCCCCCTCCCTGTCAGTTTAAGTGTTCAGTCTTATGAAACAGTAAACCATTCTTCAATAACACTTTTGCTTGTGGTTATCTACAGAACTGGAAGCAACCCCAAAATTAGGCGCAACAAAATCTGGGGAGGCCAGAATGGCGGTATTCTTGTTTATAATTCTGGTAGGTCTGACCTTTTTTTATTTAGCATTAAATATGTATTTACATGAATTAAATATGTATAACATTCAGCAATGTTATGCCTTTCAGACAACCATCTTGCTTGACTTCTTTTCCTCCCTTCCCCCTGCTTATAGGGCTTGGATTTATAGAAGACAATGAAATCTTTGATAATGCAATGGCTGGAGTATGGATTAAAACGGACAGTAATCCTACGCTAAGAAGGAATAAAATCCATGATGGACGAGATGGGGGCATCTGTATATTTAACGGGGGCAGAGGTAGCATTCTTTCCTTATTAGGATACACTAAGAATAGTGGATAATAATCTAGTTTAAGATAGTTTATTTTAATCTGCTCCTGAAGAGCCTCTGATTAGTGCTGAAGTTGTGATATAATAGGTTGTTGAAAATATACTGGTGCTTTTTAGTCTCCATTATATCTGTAATACTACACAATAGTAGGCAAAGGAGCCATGTGACCTCATCCAGGAAAACTGGATGTGCTGCCAAAACAATATTTTTCTTTCTTCTCTCCAAGGATTTACGTTTCGTTATCTTTCATTTGAGAGAATACAAGGAATTGATTTAATAGTTAAACCAGAGTTGGATCTCTCTCTCTCTCTCTCTCTCTCCCTCTGGTTTTTCCCCAGTTTCAAAGATTTTTTGGGGGCGGGGGGAGAACCCTGATTTGGAGAATTCATTCTCACACTTCTGGAAGAACTGTACCTCAGTTTTATAAAATCCAGTTCTGCCCTGTTGTAGTCTCATAATGCTGATTTTTAAAAATAGCATGGTTAATCATTCAGTATGGCTAAGCTCTTAATTTTAAGCAATGCAGTTCTGAGTGTGGCTGCATTGCAGTGGTAAAGCAGCACTTACAAACGTGTGCTAACTGCTGGCTGTAGAGGAAGGACAGGAACAGAACACAGAAGAAATCTGTGCTAGGGAGATTGAAAGATTTGGTTTATTTTAAATAGGAAATAATGCCTCTAGAGGTGCAGCTTGGAAGTTTGTTCTAATGGCTCATAGGGCTTCACATTTTCACTTTACTGTATTGATTATCCTAGTTATATTATATCTTTAGATGCATTTAATTGGGAATAACTGTGACAGAGATCATCATTCTTGAAATCCCCATTGGTGGCCTAAATAGAAGGTTTCCTATAGCAAGCTAATACAGGGAATCAGGCTGACATTTTGTCCTTAAACCTGTTGTATGTTGTTGGTTTTGTTTGCAGGTCTCCTTGAAGAGAATGATATCTTTAGAAATGCCCAAGCTGGTGTTCTTATCAGCACCAATAGTCACCCTGTGTTAAGGAAAAATCGAATATTTGATGGATTTGCTGCAGGTTTGTACTGCTTAGATCAAATTTTGAAGTGTTAGAGCTTACAGGGTTTTGTTCTGTGGAATTAATACTTTCAGGAAATAATGCATCTTTCCTGCCACATATCACACTTTGTTATTTTGCATTTTATTTTAGAAGTGAAAAGTTGAAGATTTTTGTTTCTAGGGGCTGATTTTCAATTTATTGGTAATCCTGTTTTAGAGAAGAAAATTTCAGGATCTTGTATCCAAGGTGTTTGGAATTGCTTTTTACTAAAATGTGTTTCTGTTTCATGGGATGCATGAAGCATGAAAAAGCTTGAGATACAAGTGTTACCTACTGCTTAATAACAGTTGATAATTTTAATTCTGTTGCACTTTAAAGTGGAAATACGGGCTTGAGTTTTCACCTTCTCTTTCAGAAACAGGAAGTTCTTCTGAAAAACCTTTTAAAGGTCATGCTTGTGTGTGATGAAAGGGAAGAGGGGTTTTGGGTGGGGGGTTTCGTTGTTGCCAAGAGCAGTTCTAGCTCTCACTTTGGAAGCCAATTGTTGGTTGAGACTAAGATTATTCAAGTGCTTTTAGAGCTTGATACTTTTCTTTAAAATGTCTTTCTTGTGTTCAGACCACAAGCGCTCAGATGTTTCTTAGAATTAAAAAATTTTTTTCCCAGGATCTGTCACTTACAAAAATATTAGCCAAGATGCTGTCTTGTTGTCTAAGAAACTGTTTGATTACTAGATTACTCTGAAAATATGGATGCTAGCCTCATCTTTTCATGAAAGGATGCTGCGAAAATACTTAGCCTTATACTTGTTACAATGTCATTTTTAGATCTTAGTTGCTCTGCCAGTATTGTGTTTTCCTTGACTGATAATAGAAAGTACAAATTGGTAAAAGTAGTTGCTGAAACTAAAATGAACAGCAACTAAACCTTCTGATTTCTCCCCCCCTTTCCATTAAAGGTATTGAAATAACAAATCATGCAACTGCAACGTTGGAAGGCAATCAGATTTTCAACAATCGGTTTGGAGGCTTATTTCTAGCATCTGGTGTCAATGTAACAATGAAAGGTATGTGGCTTTTTATATTTGTTCATATATGCTGAAGCTTAGTTTTAGCCCAGCTTGTCTGTCTTTAGTTCAGTTCTGCATTTTAAGTTACTCTACCCAAACTTTCACCTGAAGGAAATATGAAAACTGCTATCCAAGTTCCTTTGGCAGGGATCCTGGTTTTCTGATTTTAAAAAACAAAAAAAACCAATTCTCTGGTTTACCCCCCCATCCACATTTTTCTGTGATTAAAACAAAATGCCACTATGTTGTTTGGATTGATATGGTATTTTGTTTTAATCATGGAAAAATGTGGATTGGGGTGGGGGCGGGGGGGAGGTAAACCAGAGAATTTTGGTTGTGTTTTATTGGGTGGTTTTTCAAAAAGAAAAAAATAGCCTTGCTGATTAGCAACTTGTCAGTAAACTCATTTACTCAAAACTTGTCTTTTGGAAACAAGACAATGAAGGAAATGCTGGTATAGGAGGTCTTATCACATGGCTGAAAGCAAGTGTCCAGCCAGTATGGTTGAGAAACTTTTGCTTTATATGTTAATGCATAAAATACTTAATGTAAGTATATATATTTGAAGTCACCTTTTGAGGAAGAGGGGATTAAGAACAACTTGTATCAACAGTTATGCCACTTATTTAATGTGCTTTGCATAAAGTTTTAACTTAAGAACTTGAAGTGCTCCTAGTGAAGGTTGACTCCAGAGTTGTCATGTCCTGTTTCGGCCCCCTAATTTTCTTCAGTTTTTATCTGGGACTCATAGCCACATCAAAACCGGCTTACAGGTAAAAGACAGCAGTAGACTTAATATCTGGAAGTACAACTGTCCCTAGCTTATACAAGTTTGGGATGAATTGAGGTCCCAGGGGTCATGAAGTCTATTCTTGGTTTGAGGTTGATAGTGTGTTCTAATAAATTACTTGACAGGATAGCCAGGCATGACCCATATAAGCATTCTCAGAGGCAAAGTGACTGAAACCTCTGCCCTACTCTCAGTTCTGCTAAGTGACCTTTTACACCATTATAAAAGGTCTGTTAAAAAAAAAAAAAAACTTGCCTGCAGAATGGAGGGAACCGCAATCTAAAAAACTAGATTGTGGCCTTCTAAGTCAGAGGGTAGAGGGGGAGGGTGTTTGTCACTCAGGTAGGATTTCACTGGTAGCCCTTTCCAATTTTGGTATTAAAACCCAGCCAAGTTGAAATCCTCAGTTAGTCTAAGATGAGTAAGTTATTTCACATATCAGATTTTGCACTAGAACTTGGGACCTACTGCTTGAACTCTTGGCACAGAGTTCTCACTCACCTGTTCGGTGGCACCGTGTTTTACTGCATGGGTTTCTTTGAGATACTAAGTAGGTTTTTTGTTTTTTGTTGTAAATAGATAACAAAATAATGAACAATCAAGATGCCATTGAAAAGGCTGTCAGTAGAGGCCAGTGCTTATACAAGATATCAAGTTACACCAGCTACCCAATGCATGACTTCTACAGGTAACACGTTTTCTAAACGTTTTGTGAAGCACAAAACTAAGGGAAGTGATACTACTTCCTCATGTAACATTCCTTTAGTATGCTTAAATGACATGGTTACCTAGTGACAAGTTCTAGTACTTGATAGTCTATCATATTTATGTTGCTACCCCAAAAAGCAGTTGGCATTTTGTCTAGTACCTGATGTTTTGTATTTTTACTTCAGATGTCACACCTGTAACACCACAGACCGTAATGCCATATGTGTAAACTGCATTAAGAAGTGCCATCAAGGACATGATGTAGAATTTATTAGACACGATAGGTAGGTGTGGCATTACGTTGGCTGAGCAGCTTTGCCTTTCCAGTATAAAGCTAGTTTGGTTCTTTCACTTGTCTTTTCCTTTTCCTTTACAGGTTTTTCTGTGACTGTGGTGCTGGAACACTGTCTAATCCCTGTACACTTGCTGGAGAGCCTACACATGATACAGATACACTATATGACTCTGCTCCACCTATAGAATCAAATACATTGCAGCACAACTGAACCTTGTCAGAAAGAAAGTCCTGCCATTCTAATATCATAACTGTTAAACTTTTTTTTGGAGGAAGTTGTACTTGCCCATTTCTGCAGAAAGACTGTATTAAATGGATGTGTAAGGTGTTGACACTATGGAGCTCAACCTACCAAAAAGAAAGTGGCAATATGTTGACTCAGGATAACAGAACTGGGCGTTTTAGCATTACTGTGTAAACAAAGACTTTGAAGGGACAGAAGTGAAGAAAATAAGCTGCAATTTTGTACAGATACCAACTTCTGAAAAGCTGGTGTTTTTACAAGTAGCATTGAAACGCAGTCCAATTTGCAGTAGTACTATTCTGTAGACAAGCAGCATTCTTTGTTGCTGCCTTTATGGACATGGGTACCAATTGCTTTTGTAACATGGTAAAAATGTGAGCTAGCACTTCTGCATTTCTTTTGATTTTTTTTAACATTTATTCAGATTGAGAAATATGATTTTAATGCTTTAATCTCATGTAGTTTGTTTTTAATTTCAAGCAAAAAATCTTATTGTACTTGAATGTGTCCTGTTTTGTTAGCACACCTAGACTTGCTGTAACTGTACTCATGTCCCAGTATGTACGTTCTTTCTATGAAAGAGAAAACACTAATCTTAAATTATATCCAGCAATTTTTCTGGTATCCTCGAAGTTAGAATAATTTCCTTCCCTGCCCCAGCAATAGTCTGTACTCAAATCACCCTAACAAAAAGCGAGTGTTTTAATGAGACTTCCTAGGATATAATGCACTATAAAACAAAGTACCCATGTAACTAAGTTTTGTGAATGAAAGTTTTACTATGTTTTAAAGTACACATTAGAAAGTCTCCTCAAAACAGTCTTGTATTTTACTCTGTTCATAGTTTTTTTTTGAACAGTCTGGACATTACTTACATTAACTGCTGGAAATCACAGCAATTTCCTGCTATAATGAAGCTGAGACAAGTATATATACAGCCCTATACAGTTTCATAGCTTTTTTTCCATTTATGTGTATTGGTGACAGTGGGTAATCAACAGCCTGAAAGTGTATGCATGTACCATAACATCTAGACTTAATATATTGTGGAGTATTCAATAACCATTATGTAGCGGGTAGGTAAGAATTAAAAGGGTTTAATTTCCTAGGAAAGAAAATGGAAAAATGGTCATTTTTAAAAAATAAAGTTTATTAGATCATAACAGTGTCTGCATACCACCTTTTTAAGAACCGCCACTATAAAACTTGTTGCAATAGCTTAAAGATGATTGATCAGTCTCATCAGTTTCTGAACAGTGCTTTTATCTCCTGTTGCATCCTCTGCCATCAAGCAAAGGTACCTTAAAAAGAAGAAAAGTATGACACTTTTTTTCCACTTAAAGTGGGGAAAAAAAGACTACATATGTTTCTAGTCACCAAATCTTTGCAACTACCACTTTTTTTTTCTTAAGGAAGCTTTAAGTGTTTGATACCATAAAGTACCCAGCTCTCTTGTTGTTTTTTCTGTCCACTCTTTTCAGTTTTTAATATTATTCTTAAGGCATGAGCCCACAGCGTTGCCAGGGCTTAGTGAATAAATTACAAGTATTTCTTTAGTACAGTTATATTAAGAAACAAAGAGGTGCCAGGAAGAAACTTGAAAGGAACCACTGCCCCCTGCTGTTCAGCACTGTAGCGACATCAGTCTGGTCCAAGACTCCAATGAATATTGACTAGTGCTAGAAGAGTTAACTTTTAAGCATGCATCTGCTCTATGAAGTCATGGAGAAGCTGGAGAGGAAAAAAAAAAACTTACCTAAACATCCTAAGTGAAAGCGTCATCTTCTCAAAGTCTCTTGCTTTTCTGTGACCATTCTGAATAATTTCCTCTGGAATGTTAGCAAGCCTTGCTGCATTAAAACCATAGCTTTTAGGACAAGCTCCCTTAGTGAATTTATACAGAAATGTAATAGTTTCCTGGCTTGGATCTTCACTCTCATTTTCAACCATACATGCCTAAAAAGAAATTCACTGATTTAAGTTATTTTTTTTAATAACACAGCATTTTTCCTCTCAAAACTGTTGGGTTTTTTTTGGTGGTAACCTCTTTTCTTCCAAGAAATGTTAAGTTTAACAGCTTGTACATACCATGTGTCCTAGCCGTACAGCATCGTTGTGTGAATGGTCTTCTACTAACGAATGGTAGTGTGTCGAAAACAATGTGCGGCACTTTATATTTTCTGCAAGTTCTTTAACAACTGCACTTGCTATTGCTGTTCCATCAAAAGTAGCTGTGCCTCTACCTGCAAGAGGAATAAAAGCCTGTACTTCACTAGAAAAGAGAAACAAACACACTACTTTAGCAGAGTTAGTTCATCCCTTAGTACTGCATTTTAAAGGACCCCCAGCTCAAATTACTGGCTGGTTATTACACAAGACTAGATCAGTAAAGACAATCCAGCAATATGTAGTTATTATTACCGTGCATCATCACCTGGCTTGCGTAAGTCTTTCACAGAAACAGGGAAGATAAACATTTGAAGACAACAGCGAAAGATAAAACTACACATAGCAGGGGAATAAAAGGACAACAGCAATTAAAAATTGACCAGTTAAAAATTACTAGTCCCTTTTAAATTCAGAGCAGTTTTTATCCCATTCTAGCTACTGCATGGTACAAATGAATCATGCAAATTAGCTGGTATGGGAAATTCAGGCAGAGCAAGTTAATAGTGGTTTATTGGGTCCCCTAGAGCCAGTGGTCATTTTTCAGGAGATACCCAGCTATTTTAATGCCTGTATGGTTATTAGCAGCATGTGGTAAAGCCACCTTTTAAATACTGTATCAGCAGTTTGGATGTTCAGCCTTGCAGTGAGCCTTTGCTTCTGCATACAGAATAGCTTAAATACCTAGTTCATCCACAAGCACAAGGGAATGCTCTGTTGCATGCTGGAGTATGCTGGAAGTCTCGCTCAGCTCAACAAAAAAGGTGCTTTCTCCTGAAAGGAAAAAACACACAACACATTTTGTATCTATAAAAATAAGCAAACAACTGGACATATTTCAGCTTGCTGGAAGTTTCTACTGTAGTAGGTGACCAAAATCTACAGCTCTTAGAGCTAAGGGCTGTGATACAAGCTGACCCGTTAAGTACTTATTTCCTAAAAAGGGGAATGGGCAGTTGAGTAAAACTTGGCAATTCTAAGAATCATCCTGGCCTGTGCAATTTGAACAACATCCATGAAACAGGCTTACCTCCTGAAAAGGATGGATCTGCCCCCTTCTTTGATTTTTTATAAAGGAATTAAAAGCAGCCTTTCAAGATGTTAGTAAATCTAATAGGAGTTGTAATTGTGGTTTTACAATATATTTTCCATCCTATGGTTTTCAGAATTTCCCCATCATTCTTCACTGTTAGGGGAGGACTATAGTTTTTGGGGGGGGGGGTTTTGGGGGGGGGGGCAGGGGGCAATCATGGGGGAATACTGCAAAAAGTGTAAAAAAAAAAA